GATTCAGCCAGTCAAGGACTGCGACGTTGGGTTTAAAAGTATGTTAACCGGCTGTAAACTCCTAGGAACATTTCTAAATGTTCGTCCACTTCTGGATTTGAGCTTCGTTCCAGAACTTGGGACATGTCGGTTCAATAAGCCCTGTTTAATAATAATAATAATGTCGGCGTATGTGGCTTAATCGTTGCGGACGCGATTCGTAATGCTGGGGGTGATGGGTTCGATCCCAGCTGCAGGTTCTGCACCTTGCCTTGTTTTCGAAAAAGCAATGGCAAACTACTGAACGTAAAATTTGAATAGAAACATCACAATAACCCAAAAAATACTGGGGCTGGCTCTACAAGGTCCTGAATGGGAAAAAATGTGAAAGGAATTAATAAAAATATTTTTTTTAACATCTACAGATGGTCAGAAGGCAGAGCTGAAACTCTTAGACATTTCTGGGTGGAGATTCTCAACCCGAGTCGTCACTGCGCAACGATCGATCCTGTCCCCAACAGCTTTTTCGCCTAAACTTGCTGTAAACTCCGTTGGGCAGTTTTGGTTGTTTGTAACAGAACAACCTTTGGCGGGTTAAGGTCATTAAGCTGTATCCATGGAAACAACGCTCACAAAACCCACAATTTTTCTCTGTCTTTTGCTTGTATAATAATTTAATTCTGTCATTTTGTGCACGCACAAATTAAGTTCTCGAAAAAGCCTAAAATCTAAAAGTGGACACACAACGAGAACTTTCCGTCGGAGTATATGGTAGGTGCACGCGAAGAAGGAGAAGACATTTTGCGTTCACGTCTGTTTTACAAAACTGGTTTATTTTGCAAGCAGACTGTTGGTTTCTCGCCTCTTAGTTTGATGCACTCCCTAACGGGTCGCCGTTCATGACATGCTTGTTAGGGGACAGTTGGTCTACCCCTCCCCCCCCCCCCAACTCCCCCCCCAATCCGAAAATAATAACCCCCCGACCTAAATGAAGACCCCACAAAAACTCTGATCTCATTCCTTCTATATCTCTCTGGGCATATTATCTTAACTCTGATTCGACTTGCGTTTATGGCAGCCTGGCATAATTGTAGACAAAATCAGTGCCTGGGGACCATGGATTTGTGCCACTGGTTTTAGGAACAGTGTCTGCTATGACTAAAGTTCAATGAATGCGGGCGTTGTAGGTAATGAAATTGCTGATAGACTGGCAGGTGCTGCATTAATTGAAGATGGTCGGCCTATGGATCACGCAGACATTGTCGTTGCCCTAAGAGAGATAAAACGTTCTGAGAATTTTGGAAGCAACGTGTTCACATCACTTCTAAGAATACGAGGATTGGGAGTAAAGATCGGCACAGCCAAGCATGAGAAGCACACTGGACGCACACGTAAAAAAAAAGTAAAGTAAATGACCCTTTTCCACGCCTTTGGGCGTATGGGGCACATAGGGCTAGACCTATATTTTATAGACCAACGGCACAAGAGGTGATGTGGTCAGCATCACGCCGGCCGCCTCTACTTCCTGAGACTGCACCCGGTATCCACTCACGGCTAGGTCGACCTAAAAAGGTTAGTTGCATATTTTTTACATGACATTGCAGAACCAACCCCAGCAAACCATGTCTGTTGCATGGTTTCTCTAGGCAAATTTACGTCCAGTAGTTTGCCATTGCTTCCTGGACGGTCGGCTTTCTTGATACTACTGTTGAAACCAACGCAATGCGCATGGCCCGCAGCTGGGATCGAACCCGGCACCCCGACATTACGAAGCGTTTGCATCGACTTAGCCACAGAGCCGACTGGACGCACACGAAATCAGCATAGGACAGGCGCTATTAACCGCGTGACGCTGATGAATATGTTGAGAGGGGAATCTGAGCGCCATTGGATGTGCTCGGGGTGCTGTGAAAATAATCTAATTCATAACTCATAACTTATCAAGTTCAAGGTAGGGGTGAGTCTCTGCAACAAAGTCCATACAAATATTTCGATACTCTATCATTCTGAAGCTGGTTTTCTCTCAGATGTTTCCTCTTTACAGTCCGTCGGTTGCATATTCCAAGCCATCGCTTAATTCGTGCAAACGCTGTACTTAAACAACATTTAGAATGTCACCCGGACGAAGAGGAGCTGGAGGAAAACAAAAAGTCTTTTTAGACAGACAGATCATGCAAAATTGCATGGGTCTCCTATTTGACATGTCACCGGAAACCTGTAGCAGCCGACATTGCGGGTGTACCGGAAGTGTGACTAACGGCCGGGACCCGACCACTAAAGCAAGACAACAAGCAGGAAGAGGATCATCCCCTTTTTTAAAATGCCGGTAAATTAACCAACTCTTGCAAGTTTAGAAAACATACTAAATATTTGTGACATTATTTTGAGATGATGCTGTAGTAAAATCGTTGTTGGAGACTTGGATTTTGTTGTTTTCGCTGTAAACGACATATCAATGCATACTGATACTCGTTTTCCTTTGCTCTAAGTACTCTTAACTCAAACTAAATATTAATAATAGTGTTTATAGTTTATGCTAAAACCCAAAGCTGATGACATCAGTGACAGTGTGATGTCATATTTATTGTGTAAATATTTAAAAAAAATATTATTATTAATAATATGAATATGCACATAAAAAATCAAATAGTTGTGATTCAAAGATTGTGCGTTTACTCCCATTTGTAAACTGTTTTAGTTTTAGTACCAATAGTACCAGTCAGTTCTTGTTTCAGCATCATCTGTGCAATGAGTTTGTACTCTCTAGTCCACTGGTTTTCAACCTAGGGGGCGGGCCATTCAGTTATGTTTGGGTGGTGTGGAGGTGTGCCAAACAGTTTTAAAATGTGGCACATGTGTACTTGTAAACTAAATAAACTTCCTAACATGCACAGTCTGTGGCGACAGCACTAGTCATGTTGCCCTAAATCCTCAGGCTCACAACTGCCTCCCCTTCTCTCTTTGTAAACGCAACAGCGCTGCCAGCTTCATCTGAAAAGTAATCTCCATCATGTCATGTCTAACAAACCATACGTAGCAGATGTCCAGAAAAACATTGATATTTGGACAGTAAATCACCAGTTTTTGCTGATTGTTTCTTTTATGTTGTTTGACACTAATGAACAAGAACTTTTTTATTTTTATTACAGAGGTCACAAATTAGGCATGCACGCCTATCTTACATCCAGCCCTTTTCAAGTATCATCTTACCACAATTGTAATAAATCTATAAAGATGTTATATTAATACTCTTCTTCTTTCTAGCGTTCATCAGCTTCGAACAGGGGGAAAAGTTTTCGATGGAAACCCTAATTAGTCGACTCTTATATGTTGTTAGAGTCAGTGAGTGTTTCCTTGTTTGTCCCCCCCTCCCCCCTCACTCCCCCCAACAGCGGGGCCTGGAAACCTTCACAGGAAATCTATTGGGCTAAATGCTGAATGAGATTTGAGGCGTTTGTGTGAACCAATTGAAAACTGTGAATTAGCAACCATGGCCAGACTGCAAGAACTGCAAGTTAAATGGGCTGTTGTAAATCAAGAACACTAAGCGGGTAACCAAAGAAGGAGAATAAACCAACACGGAACTGATGTTGTCAGAGGCTACACGCTGCAGGATTTACTAAGGAGGGGATCCGAGCACTTATGGACTGAATGGTTCCATGTGCAATGAGGATAATCTGTCGACTAACTAACCAATTATTTGGCTAAGATCTCTCTGCAGAGCATGAATCCCACAGCTCCAGTGATAACCTCAAGAATCTCAAATACTTGCATCCATAAACCAAGCAACAAAGTCTGAAATGGAAGCCACAGCCTCCTAATGTGGCTTCTGGGGCTCTCACTTTATGGACACACTAAGAATAGACTCTCTGTTCCCTGACAAGCATGTCCTAAAAGGTGCTAGTTAGTGATTTGCTGATATCAAACATTTTGAGCCAAAAGGCGCAGATATCTTGGTCTAGCTGTAAACCATAACATAACATGCTAGAGCTCTTTTAAGGGCTAATGCAAAAGTAGAAAAACAATCCACAACCTTCTCAGCTCGGGGCAAATACCTGAAGCAGCCAATCTGTCAGCCTGTTCATTGCACCGCACACCCAAATGTCCTGGACAAAGAATCCATGATATGCTCTGGATAAGAAAGAAAGAATAGGAGGAGGAAGAGTAGAGAGGACTAAAGAAAATGACTATGAAAATTGCGTATGAAAATCGCCAGAAACCTTTAGCAGCTGACATGGCATGTCTACAGGAAGTCTAATAAACTGCCTGACTCTGACCTGACAGTTGAAGGTAGACAACAGGCAGAAATACCTTAACCACTTTGTACAAGAAATTCAAGATTAGGGATTTAGAGACTTTGCTCATGTGGTCAGGCAGCACAGAATACTGAACATATGCTACAGACATCTTTCTACATGCGATAGAGAGATCCTTGGTCTGCCATTTGGCATTCCAATGGAAACCAAGCTGTAGGGAACAGACGAAGGCATAAGTGGCACCAGAGACTTCATAGAGGTCTGTGGCCTTCTCTTCTGAAATCCACTGACAGAGAAAAGAAGAAGAGGAAGAACAGGGATCTGTCTGGTGCATGTAGAAAGCGTGTCTGTAGCACATGTCCAGTATTCTATGGGTGTCTGTCCACAAGCACAAAGTTCTGAATCACCAGTCTTTAATTTGTTGTAGATGTGTCTGCCGAGACTGTTGTGTCATGTCAGCCTCTAAGGGTTAGTACAGATTCAGTTCCAAGAAAAGGTAAATTCATTCTCTAGACTAGAAGACATACACTCTGAAGGAGACGGGGCAGGTTCAGTTCCTAGAAGATAAGATAAATTCATTCTCTAGAAGACAAACAGCCTGAAGAAGATGGGACAGGTTCAGTTCCTAGAAGATAAGACAGATTCATTCTCTAGAAGACATACAGCCTGAAGAAGATGGGACAGGTTCAGTTCCTAGAAGATAAGACAGATTAATTCTCTAGAAGACATACAGCCTGAAGAAGATGGGACAGGTTCAATTCCTAGAAGATCTGACAGACTTGATTCCCAGCAGATAAACGGATGTGGTCAAAATCATGCAAGCCACCTTCATTTCTCAGGATATTTCCTGAGAAATGGATTTAAATACACTGATATGTTGCATCCTTGCTGGGCGGTTGATTGCCTCTTCAGGATTGTGTTATGGATATGAATGAACTTGAACACGATTTTCTGTATCTCCTCCTGACAGGCCTATCACTCACAGTTCCTAAACCCTCCTAAGCTTATTGGCAACATGGCATTGCTGCCTGTGCGGACACAGTACAAGGGACCAGCTCCTAAAGACAGTAAGATTCACTTTTGCTTCTTTTTCTCTTTCTTCTCTTCTTTCTTTTACTACTTGTCTGCTGAGGGTGGGGAGAGAGCAGGTATGGGATTGACCAGAAGGCTGTCATGTTAGTAGTTGACCACCCTGTGTTGGTTCCAGGCCTACATTGTGGGGAAAACAAAAACAGACCCATTGTATTGCACATCCTTTACAGAATGTTGCAGAACCAACCCCACACTGTTTAAAGCATGTCGTCGACGAATTGGGAGCTTTCTTCAGAGACAGAGTGCATCTATATGAGAGGCAAGGAACCAATAGTCTGCATACAGATAAGTAAGATTTGTAAAACGAATGTATGCAACACTCAGGTTCTGGAACAAGACTGGAATCTTGGGGTGGGCAAATAAGCAGACCTTTCTGACAGAGTTTACAGCCAATGAATGCGAAAAGGAAGTAGTTATTGACTCATCTGCTGTTGCTGCTACTACTTTTTCTTCTCCTTGTGAGGGGAGCTCGCTTGGATTAGATGGACAGTGCAGTAGAACATTCAGAGATTCCGGAATGGAAGAACTAATTCAAGGTGGAAAATTTTTTTTTGGGGGGGGGGGGGGGGGGGGGGGGGGAGGATGGTGAGTAGAGGTTCTAGAAAACCTCAACACTTAGTGGTAAATGTGGGTGGACTTTTAATCAGGTTGTAGCTGGTATTGTTAGCCTCTTGAATTAAGAATTCACAGCACTAGGGACACTCCCATAAGTGCTCAGTCCCCATCTTCAGCACCAAGCGATGAGTTCCAGTTCCGATGGTACCAGTAACCGTCTGATTGTATATCCGTCTCATCCTTTCCCTGAGTGTTGAGCATCGGCCAGATCCCCTGGTAACTCCTTGCAGCGCCATTCTTAGCCTGTCGACTCTGTGTAAGGAAGGAGCTGGTACACGTCTTGAGTACAGTGATGTCCATTCTTGGTTCATTCATTGTTTGTAGATCTGCAATTTCATTAGTCTCCACTGTCTTCTTGGTCTGCCTCTTGCCTGCTGCCAGTCAACTCTTTTGTGTATGAAGTTCTTGTCTCTCTGTTTTCCAGCATTCACCCTGTATGGCTCCCAGTACTCACTGTCTGTTAGCCCTCTTGATGCTTGTAACTAGTAGAGATTTCTTCTTAGTTTTTGCCGGCTGTAAACTCCAGTGGAAAGTTGTTCACCCACTTCTGGACTTTGATCCTTAACCAGAACGTGAGTTTTGCTTGCACATACGTTTTACACATTTGGCTTATTTGCATGCAGCCAAACAGTGCTGGAGTTGGTTCAGCAACATTCTGTAAAGCAACTAACTTTTTTCACTAAATCCTAGCCTATAAAGAAGAGAGGAAAAATGCTTCAATTGTTACTCCCGATTCTTTGAGCAGTATAATGAATGTTTGAAATACATGAATAATTGCATTGCCAGATTTTGTGAATGTATAACAATTTCATCCTTATTTGTTTTTTTTTTACACAGCATCCGACTTTGACATCGTAGATGAGGCAATATATTTCTTTAAGGCCAATATTTTTTTTCGCAACTATGAAATCAAGGTATGTGATACATGTGACATGGGTAATTTATGGTGCTTTAAGGTTTTATACTTCTTCTGTATTCACCCTTCTAAGGACAGTTCTTCTTCTTCTTTTTTCTTTGCGTTCGGTTTCGTATGCTCAGATCAGACAATCAGGTAGGTTGCCTTTATGAACTCGCATGTCAGGTGTCTTTACAAAGTTTTAGGTAGAGTGGGCAGTTCTGCAGAATATTGACAGTCAAGATTTACAGCTAAGCTGTGACATCTGCCCAGCACATCTGATTTTTAGCAAACTCCTGATAGGTTGCCTTTTATGACATGCTTGTTAGAGGCAGTGGGTCTCAATTCCTTTCTCCCTCACCCCTTATTTTTCTCCTAATGGGCCCCAGGAAACTACACTGGGAGGTTTCACACTGAAACAAATTTAAAAAGTAAAGGACCTTTTCCAATGCCTTCCAGGCCTATTGAGTATATAGGGCTAGACCTATATTTTATAGATCAACGGCACAAGATGGGTAATGGGGTCAGCATCATGTCGGCCACCTTTACTTCCTGGGACTGCACTTGGTACCCACTCAAGGCTGGGTTGACCTGGGAGACAAGTCCGGCTCTGCTAAGGAGCGAACCCATGATCTTCCGATCCGCAGGCGAGTGTCTAGCCGCTACCCCACGATGACTCCAACTGAAACATTTGGTGTTCCTTGTATTTTGCAGGAAGGGAATCATGCTGCCTGGGCAACATATGGTCTGTACAATATCTCCCAGGTTATGTGGGGGGGAGGGGAGGTTAATTTATGACCATAACCCTTTCACCCCGCATATGCTAAAAACAGAAAAAGATTCTTTCCAAATAAACAACCATATTACACTGGTCACTGATAAATTTTTGCTTTTATAAAAACATACACTATAAAATGTGTATTTAATATATACAGTGATAATCAGTCAACACAGAGTGAAGCAGTAAATTTTATAAGTTTCTCAGGGCCTTTACAAAAAATATGTGTTAGGTGATTGGTGTCGGAAGATTTGAAATCAACTTGGCTTCAAAACCACCCTTGGGGTTATAAGGAAATCTCACTAAATCCTATTTTTTAGTTACTAAATTATATTCACATTCTGGCCTATTAAACACTGCACAGGTGCACATAGGAATTTAACTGCTCTAATAAAGGCCAGGTCACAGCAGATATGTCGATATATGGGCTTTTATGGGACTGTGTCACAGCCGAAAGGAGCAACGGTTAATTTGTATGGCCATGAGATGTGATTCTTCTGTCGTTGTATTGTACAGAATGGAAGATTACTATCTGGGAAAACAGCAGATAGCAACAGGTTTTATGGTTTTTTTTTCCAGGTACCTAAATCTACATTTATTCAGATGCAGTCACCTCCAATGAATGTAAAATTGTGACAGCAGAGATTAAATGCCTTAGAAGAGCTGCAGGAGTTTCAAGAAAAGACAGTGCGAAATCAGACAAATGCTATGAATAAAGCCAGTCTTACAAGTCATCAAAGAACAACAAATGTAGTGGTTTGGACACGTAACAAGAATGCCCTAGTACATCTGTCACAGCGAGCCACGCTAAAATGTTACAGCGGGTAAAGAGTAGGTGGAAGACCTAGGAAAATATGGAGTGATCGCATTAAGAACAGCCTTACACAAATGAACATCCGTCTTAATAGTGCTGTTGACAGGGCTCATCAACGAAAGTTACATTTTCCCTCGACACTTCATTGAGGTACAAGGTGGAAGGGAGAAGAGCTGGAACATCATTAGTGGGGTAGGAAGTTCCAAAACGGCTTCAGTCGACTCTGGGATCATACTTGATTTGATGAGCCTGACCGGGTCGTGGACAGTTTGTCACAGAATTCGCGCCGTTTTGACACTTCTTACTCCACTCTGCACTGGCTGGATTGACAACTATTCGTCACAGTACTGGACAGTCGAATTCTCCGATGAATTTCCATAAGTTCACCCCTTCCCTGATCAAAAATGGCTAAATGAGCGCTGCTGCTTTTTGGTGCATGTCAAAAGTTGGGCCCCCATATTTAAACTATCATTATGAAGCCACCGTGTTTGTCTACACCATGATGTCACATGCTTAACACTCTTGACATCCTTAAAAACCGTATTGACAGGTTACATGTGACCATGTATGATGATTATTGTTATTTTTATCACACTTTGAAGGTTTCATTCGAAGTCCCCTTGTAACTGTACTGTGTATATCTTTGACTAAAGAGGAATTGCATAGAATTGTGTGAGTCACTTCGTATATCTCTGGTGTCATGAATTGTATTCCATAGCCTGGTGACCTGATATGTTCCCATTTCATCTAATGCATTGATTATTTGTAACTTCTATCACACCTGTTAAGTTTTCATTTGAAATCCTCTTTTAACTTTTTTATTTGTATCTTTGTGTTTTCAGAGTGAGGCTGACAGGACGCTCATTTACATCACCCTGTACATCAGCGAGTGCCTGAAGAAGCTACAGCGAGTAAGTCCTCTTTGGATAATTTTTTTTTTTTTAATGCTGGTTAAGATTGGACTGAAGGGCTCGAATTCATGCAACTGACTGTAAACACAATGTGACTGTTGTGTGTAAGTGTTTTGAGACAATTCTGGCGTGTACTGTTACAGATTAGTGTATATTCTGGCTTGTTCCGAAACAGATTAGTGTATATTCGGGCGTGTTCCGAAACAGATTAGTGTATATTTGGGCTTGTTCCGAAACAGATTAGTGTATATTCTGGCTTGTTCCGAACCAGATTAGTGTATATTCGGGCGTGTTCCGAAACAGATTAGTGTATATTCTGGCGTGTTCCGTTACATATTAATGTATATTCTAATTGTTCTAAATATCTTCCTCATCTGCATTCACGAATAAAAGTGGCGGTTTTACAAATGTGGCTTATTTGTTTTGCAGACTGTCGGTTCCTTGCCTCTCTGACAGATGTACTGTGACTCAAGAAACATCCCTAGTTTTTCACCTTCGATGTCATGCTTTTCCTATTTCTGTCTGTGTGTTCAACGATTGCAGTAATTAGTGGTGATTTAAGCATATTATTAATTTCACTGTTGCTTCTTAATCATCGTTGATGGGTCCAGAAATGTGTCATAAGGCTCTGTTCTCATAGGTCTGCATTAAGACTTGATGTTTTTCTGATTGTACTCCAGGTTTCACAATCATACAGGACAGTTGATCTTAATCAGTGTTTTATATAATGTGATCTGCTGTTACGAGATAGAGCATTTATTGTAGAGCAGGACTGTTCAACTAAGTTTATTCAGGGGCCAACATTTTGAAAATGGGGATCATCAGAGGCCCGAGCCCCAGCGTGGACTACTTTACTGACTTAGTCACTCCAGGTAGAAGACCTTGGAATGTAGAGATTTGCCAGGAAGATTAGCATAGTTCTCTGTCTGCAGTTTTACCCCAGTGTGGAAAGATCATTAATACTATACAACTGGCGGATGCTCCGTGGACTTCCAGATTCGTCCCATGTGCAGCCAGTTGAATAGTCCTATTGCAGGGCATCATGTACCTTTTGTAGATTATATCTCTTCTCTTAGTATGTTCGAGCAGTTAAAGTTTCTACCCGGTTACTTTTAATTTCTCTTTGTATGACGGAGCAGTTAAAGGTTTATTGCAGGTACTTTTAATTTCTCCTAGTTTTGTTGGAGCAGTTACAGTTTCTACCCAGTTACTTTTAGTGTCTTTTCTTTGATCTTTATATTATCTAGTGTCTTGTGGATATTTAAATTCCTTGTGCTTTTTTTTTTTTTTTTTTTTCAGTGCTCATCAAAAAGTCAGGGAGATAAGGAGATGTACACCCTTGGCATCTCCAATTTCCCCATCCCAGGAGAGCCAGGGTTTCCTCTCAATGCCATGTACAGCAAGCCTGCCAACAAAGCAGAGGACGGTGAGTTATATCTGCTTGAAGGTTGGACTGGAAACTCTTGGAATGTTTGTGTGATTTGGATGTTTTCGTGTGGATGCAGTAGGCTCGGCTGACTTTACCTGTCAACATCTTCAATGGACAGGTCTTTTACATAAGGTCACTTTCGTCATGGCACGCCTGAAAGTCACTCCTGCTGTAGCCAGTTCCCCAGCCCTATGTGCTTTCATAGCCAGTGTGTCTTTAGTGTCTTGTATCCACTTTCACGGAGATCTGTCTGCCTCTGGCTCATTCTCCAGAAACTGTTCCCCCCATCACCGTTCTGTTGAGGCCACCATGATGTTTAACATGGCCAGAATCCTTTACCTTTTGGGGCAGGATGCTGTTTATGAGCCAGTTCTCCTCAACGCTCAGATCACAGAGGACGGTCTATTTAACCGGCAGTCACAGACATGAGTAAAGGCAGATGATATATGCAGTGGTGATTTTAAAGGGCTGGGAATGATGAAGAAGAGGAAGTTCTTAATCCTGTAATCGGGAACCACAAATAACAGAAAAACAGATTCGATTGCCAGCAGTTGCGACGAATTAAACATAATACAGAGCCAACATTTTATCAGCTTCACTGTTGGTGACATGTGCCCGATATTCTTGTAATTCCTGAATAATTTTTTTAATTATTATTGCTGTACAGTGCCTTCAACAGATTGCCACATGAGGCGGTCACTGCAGCTTTCCGCTGGTTAGAGAACACGACACACACACACATCATGATTGTAACTGACTCAGAAAGCATGCTGAGGAAGGTCAGGACAGGCATGCTTCATGCAGAGTTTCATGCTTCACTGCGGAGGATATGGATGAGAAGTATTGTGTAGAGTTTTTCTCCGGGGCACGCCACTGTGTTGGGAAATGGACAGACTGGCTGGCTCTGCACAACTTGGTGGAATACTGATGCATGATAAGGCAGACGTGGTTAGTGCCGTGTGGGAGTGTACAATTGAGAGGAGCAAATGGATCACTACAGTCTGGTGAGATTAATGCGGGGGAGGGGGACGAGGGGTTTTGGCAGATGCTCGAGGCCCAGAGGAAAGGCAAGATGGACGTTTAATCAGAATACTACTGGCACCGTTGTTATTGGAACTCTGCGCTGACTGCTGAAGGACAGAGCGCTTATGTGAATGCCCCGAGTGCTGTGATGTTGGTTCTTGAATCAGCTCAACTCAGGCTCAAAAGTGTTGGTGTCTGGTTGAGAACTATGGGGAGTCCTGTAGCCCTCATTCTAACAGACATTATCATTTATATCATTGTTGTTCTGTTGTGCCATTATATGTCAGATAGAGCTCACAGTCTGTTCCTTCATTCCGTTCTCACCTGTGCCATCACTTCAGTGTTATAGATGGGAATTCAGTCCAGTAGCTCTCGCCTCCTCTCATGTGTTTGTTTCAGGGTTTCTTTTGGTCGTCCTCACTTCATCAATCCATTTATTTCCTATTTTAGTGCCTGTTTGGTGATTCTGTGCTCGTTTCTTCTTAGGAAGTATCCATTGTATTCATTATCTATCAGTGCATGCATCATTCACACATAGAAGATAAATAGGTTTATGTCATATTTAAGAGGTAATAAAATACTTTGTGTCACAGATACCATGCGGCAGTACCTTCAACAGCTAAGGCAGGAAACTGGGGTGAGGCTGTTGGACAAAGTCTTTGACCAGAATGATAAACCCAACAAGGTGAGTGTTGTTGTGCCATCTTATCTGCACCTGCTTTTCTTCTTCATCTCCTTCGGGTTCACCGGCTGTAAACTCTAGTGGAAAGTTGATCCACTTGGTTGTCCAGCCCTGGAGTTTGGTCTTGTGTTTTAGGACTTGAGTTTTGCATGCACATCCATTTTACAGATCTGGCATATTTTTATGCAGACTGACTGTTGGTGCCTCTCAGGAAGATGCACACAAACTTTGAAAGAAACAACCTTAATAAGTCACCTTCTTTTACAACATGCTTATCAGGGTTTGGGGGGGTGGGGGGGGTCTATTCTTATTGTCTCCAAAATGGACCCTGGAGAACTAATGCTACACAGTATGGTCGAGTTAAAAGAGGTTAAGCAGTGTGGTAAAGGTTAATGTAGAGGGCGAAAAAGCAATGGACTAGGCTGATATACTGAATTGCTTAATGCAACATAAAATATAAATGGAAAGCTCAACGGAGGGAATAGAAAAGATGAACACAAATACAGTCGAATGTTTCAACCAGTCTTTGTCAGCGGAGTACTAAAAAAAAAAAAAAAACTCAAACTGTGATTGGAAAACCCACTGAACAAGGCAAACAGAGCTTCTAAACAACCAAGGACAACACAAAACCAACAAGAAATATGTGAAAGAAGGGGCGGGGGTGTGTGTGTGGGCATAAAGGGTGGCTATATTATGTTGAATGTTTAATTAAGAATCAACATCGCAGCACTCTGGAAATTCCCAAAAGAGCTCCTTTCTCATCTTCAGTAGTAAGCACAGAGTTCCGTTTACAGTGGTGCCAATAAATTCCAAAGAAAAAAAAAATATCCAAAGGACGCTAGATAATTAGAAGAGACCTCTGGAATGATGCCACTCTTCATGGGCTTAAGGGCACATATATCACAGCCTTAACAAGCAAGCCCTGAAAGCCAGCTAATTAAGGGTTTTTGTAAAGCAGATGTGATGGGCTTTGATGCACATATATCACAGCCTTAACAAGCAAGCCCTGAAAGCCAGCTAATTAAGGGTTTATGTAAAGCAGATGTGATGGGCTCAGGGGCACATATACCCCAGCCTTAACAAGCAAGCCATGGGAGCCGACTAATTAAGGATTTTTGTAAAGCAGATGTGATGGGTTCAGGGGCACATATACCCCAGCCTTAACAAGCAAGCCATGGGAGCCGACTAATTAAGGATTTTTGTAAAGCAGATGTGATGGGCTTTGATGCACATATATCACAGCCTTAACAAGCAAGCCATGGAAGCCGACTAATTAAGGATTTTTGTAAAGCAGATGTGATGGGCTCTGATGCACATATATCACAGCCTTAACAAGCAAGCCATGGGAGCCAACTAATTAAGGATTTTCGTAAAGCAGATGTGATGGGCTCAGGTGCACATATATCACAGCCTAGCTGTAAACTACAGCAGCACCCTTTTAAGGCCAACACAGAAGATTAGAAGGTAAAAGTAACAACAGCGAATGCTATATGATTACATTTTTTATTCCAGAAATATTTCAGTCAGGTTCATATTGTGTCTTCTTGTTTTTTATATTCCTGACATGCCATCAGCTAATACTTTGCTATCAGTGCCTAACATGGACACCTACATCCATCCTATAATGAATGTAAAATTGTGACAACAGAGAGGAAATGCCTTAGAAGAGCTGCAGGATTTTCAAGGAAAGACAGAATGCAAAATCAAGAAATCAGACAAATGCTAGGAATAAAGCCAGTCTTACAGGTCATCAAAGAACAACAAATGAAATAGTTTTGACACCTAACAAGAATGCTCTGATACTATCTGCCACAGTGAACCACACTAAAACATTACAAGGAGTATAGAGCAAGTGGAAGACCTCAGAAAATATGGAGTGATGACATTAAAAACAGCCTAATAGAAATGAACATCAGTATTAATAGTGCTCTTGACAGAGCTCATCAAGGAATGTTACATCTCAGCCCGACATTTCGATGAGGTACAAGGTGGTAGGGAAGAAGAAGAAGAAATGGCTATAAGAATAGTGTGTTGAATACTGCTCTTTTAGTGTTCATATTCACGTACTTGTATTTCGGTATTGGTGCCATTTGTCCTTGATTGCGTATATGCACATATATATATGTTTATAGGTGTTGATCATTTCCTCTTTCCAGTGGTGGCTATGTTTTGCCAAGCGGAGGTTTATGGACAAGAGCCTGTCTGCTCCAGGATTCTGAGCTAGGTCACTGACCAGCAGCCATTTGTGATATCAAATTGTCTTGAAGCTGTTTTGTCACATTTCCCAACATTTTTTCTCTCATTATTATCACAATATATTTACTCTAAAGAAATGTACATGTGTACTTCAGGTATCGGCCTGAGAGTAATGTTTGACAGAGAGAGAGAGAGAGATATTGATTGTCAAACACACTTATGTCCAAATAAATGTACTTCACTTATCATGTTTTCTGCTTGTGCCCTGTAAATAGTATTTGGCATATTATGTTATGTTGTTTACAGCAAGGATGTCTTCATCTTCTTCACGTTCACCGGTTGTAAACTAAAGTGAAAATGTTCTGGTTGTTTTTCCACTTCCTTACTTTTCCAAAATAAGAGTTTTTCATGCACATCTACTTTTCATTTATGGCTTATTTGTAAAAAAGATGGTTGGTTCTTTGCCTCTCAGGCAGATGCACTCTGACTTTGGAGGAAATTCTCCCTAATTACTTGATTTTTACAACATGCTGGTTGGCAGGAGCCTATTTTTTTTCCTTCCACAAAATAGAGCTTCAAAACCTGCTTGGGAAAGCTAGGTTGGGTTATTTGTGTCTGTAGTGCTAGACACATCCAGTTTCAGCCATCCTTTATTCTTCTCCTTCTGAACCCCCTGTGGAGCAAAGGCCCTCACGCCAGGTCATTCTTTACTTAGCTGCCCTTAAGAACATGCACGTTATGGTGCAGGGGAAACCCACACTGGAATACTGTGTATCAAAATTTTTTGAATTTTTTGTTTTGTTTTGAAGAGCTAAGGTAACAGACATGCATTTATCAGGATACCAGATGATGAACAAAATGCAAGAGAGGCTGGACTGTTCGTTAAATACTTTATTGAAACTTCCGATTAACATTTCTGGACTATTTGAAACCTGTACAATTAGGTAGACACAAACAGGAAGCACTTACACATAGTCTCTCACAGTTTACACATAAGAACACATAATACTATATGGGGCAGCTACGACTCCTCTACCTGAGACTGCAGAATATGAGCATACATACATACATTGATGATGACATACTATTTAGACACTCTTCTATTCGAGACTGCAGAATATGAGCACATACACATGCATATGTCACATACACACACAAATGCACACATATATTTAATACAGGCGCCCATGCATGCACACACATATTAATGATGACATACTATTTAGCCACTTTTCTATCTGATGCTACAGAACATGTACACATATACAGACCACATCTGTTGGCGTATAAGATGCACCCCAAAAAAAATTTTTTTTAAAGCTGACCAAAACTCATAATTTCCTCTGATTCTAGTTTCTTAGGATAAGAGTTTCAGAAAATTGTTGTTTGTGTTCACTGGCTGTGAACCCCGGCAGAAAGAACCCCGGTTGTTCATCCATTTCTGGACTTTGGCTTTGTTCTAGGACCGACCTGGGTTTCGTGTGTGAGCATCTGTTTGAGAGATCTTGCTTATTTCTATGCAGACTGGTGGTTCCTTGCCTCTCAGGCAGATGCACTTTGAAGGAAATCCCCCAATTAGTTGACTCTTACGACATGCTTGTTGGGGAGGCAGCGGGTCTATTCTTGGCTTCACCACAATGGTAGCCCCGGAACCCATACCGAGATTTTTCAGAGAATCATAACGATGTTTTTTTTTTTTAATGAATTTTTTTTAAAGGGTCTTTTTTAAAAACATGTTTTATGGGGCAAAAGTGGAAAAAATATGACTAGCTCTACATGGCAACGACTATAAAGAAGAAGCATACATGACAGTAATATTAGGGAGCTTTCAATAAAAACCCTAAAACTATGGCCTTAAAATGTCTGTACGCATCACGATGTTATATGCATAACACTCTTGACATCCATAACAACAGTTACTGACAGGTTACAAAACAGAGGCATGGTTATTTTAATTTCTATCAAACTTTAATGGTTTTTATTATCAAGGACCATCACAAGCACTACACCTCAGAATATCAGCTACCAGAGCAACAGGACGACCAAGAAAGTATGGACTGACAACATTAAAAAACACTTTGCGCCTTCATGGCATGACAATAGCCAACGCCAGCCAATGTACACTAGATCACAAATTATTCCTCCCCACAGCACTGTGGTTTATGAAGATTTTTAAATTAAAGCCCTCTCAAACATTTGTGATTTAGATACTATTTTCCCTGTTTGGTAGTTGCTTTGATCTGCTGTTATATACACTGATGACTAGGCAGCCTCAGTGCAACCGAAAGCTCAAAAGATCTTATGTTGTTGTGTAACAGACTGAAGGCAGGAGGCTGGTCGGACACTGGGGCCGACTCTACTCCATCTAGCCGTGATCAGAAGCCGTATCGCAGCAGGAAGTACAGATCCACAAAGAACACAATAAGGGCTACAATGAGACCTGACATCATTTGCTGCAATTAGGATAAATAAGATTATGTGACCAGGGGAACAACACAAGTGTAGGTAAACAAGGGAACAAATAAGTGTAGGTAAACAAGGGAACAAGTATAGACGCGGAACAAATAAATGTAAATAAACGAGAGAACAACCAAGTGCAAACAACCAGGGGAACAAATAAGTGCAGGTGAATAAGGGAACAAACAAGTGCAGGTAAATAAGTATAGACAAGAAACAGATAAATGTAATGTAAGTAAACAAGGGAACAAACATGTGCAGGTGAACAAGGGAACAAACAGGTGCAGGCGACCAATGCAGTATAGGCTCTTAATCAACTTGCTGTATCTATCCTTTGCTATTTCATGTAGTTTACCCCATATCCACCCTCCATTTTCTAGCTTTCTTTTTTGGTTGTTCTCCCCCCACCCCCCCCTCCCCCCTGTGGGTTCCAGTGTGAAGACATTCACATCATGCTGTCTCATGTTTTTGTTTTTTTTCAATGTGTGTCCTAACCAATGCCAGCGTCTTTTCTTTCCCTCTTGATTCACTGGAATTCGCTCATTTCTCTCCTAAGGCTGCACATTAGTGATTTTATCATCCCATTTAATTCCCTGTTTTCTGTTTAGGCACCAGTTGACAAATGTCTGCATTTATTAGTAATTAGTTGTTCTCCATGTTTCTTAATTAGTTGTTCTCCATGTTTCTTAATTAGTTGCTCTCCATGTTTCTTAATTAGTTCTCCATATTTCTTAATTAGTTGTTCTCCATATTTCTTAATTAGTTGTTCTCCATGTTTCTTCTTTTCTTCTTCACGTTCACCAGCTGTACACTCTGGCGGAAAGTTCTGGTTGTTCGTCCACTACTGAACTGCAGTCCTGCTCCAGAACCTGAGTGTTGCGTGTGCATCAGTTTTACAGATCTCATTCTCTTGAATACAGACTGTTGGTTCCTTGCCTCTCCGGCAGATGCACGCCGACTTCAAAGGAAGCTCCCCAATTAGTCGACTCTTACGACATGCTTTTGGGTAGGCAGTGAGTCTATTCGTGTTTTCCCTTACAATGGGGCCCCGGAACCCACACGGGGGTCCATGTTTCTTAATTAGTTGTTCTCCATTTTTCTTAATTAGTTGTTCTCCATGTTTCTTAATTAGTTGTTCTCTATGTTTCTGCTTTACACAACTTCAACAATTTGACATTGGAGCTAAAATATTTTAAGTTTCAATTTCCTGTAACATCCGCAGATTTCCTAGTGTTCTGAAAACTCCTCTCGCCTTTTGTATTCATATTTTAATATCTTTATCAATCATATTCTCCATATTTATCTAAATTAATGCCTAAATAAGTGTACGACTCCATATCTTGGAGTGGGATATCACCAAGAGACACTGGGTTATTGTTTGCCTGGTTTATTATCTTTGTCTTATCTTCTTCTCTTTTCACCAGCTGTAAGCTCCCGTAGAAAGTCCTAGTTGTTCGTCCATTTGGATTTTAGCTTTGTACCAGGGCCAGAGTTTTGCATGTACTGTTTGACCGGCTTATTTGTGTGCAGCTGGTTGTTCCTTGCTGTTTGGGCTGATGCTTTCCAACTTCAAAGAAAGCCTCCAATTAGTCCACTCCTACGACATGCTTTCTGGGGAGTACATGGATCTATTCTTGTTTTCCCCACAACAGGGTTCCCAGAACCCACATGGGTAATTATCTTTGTTTTATCTCTATGGATGTTTGACCTTGGACTTCCGGACAATATGGAGGATAGGCAGTCTGCTGTTTTGTAGCAAGTTTTTGCTTCTGACAATAGTTTGCGGTTGCATTTTCCTCCATATGTCGACTGAAAATATAGTTTCATCACCCAGCTACTGAGCTGATGGTGCGAAACTGTGAGCTGAGGATTTCATTTGGCATTTAACCAATATGGTCTGTGTTGTGAATTGTAGATTCAGAAAATTTCCAGTGCCCTGCTGCCACAGAACTGGTGGTGCCTTATATGATTAACGGTGTGTGCAACTGCTGATCTGTTGTAACTGCTGCTTCCACTGACGATGAATTGTATTTCTAGTATTGGAAGGTTTGTGTTAGCACTTCTGACGGCTGCCTTACATATTTAATGTGTGTCTATGCTACTGGATAGGCTGAGACTGCAGTCTCTGTTAATTTTCCACAAGGGACAGTGATGAACATTCTTTGTGGTTTTCACTAGCACAGAAACAGACCAACTATAGGGTGATCTGTTTGCTATATTGTTCGAAATGTGATTACCTGATCCTCAGACCTAATTGTTGTCTCAAAATTGACAGCTACTTACCATTGCAAAGACTTTCCCAACCATCATCTCTATTCCCTTGTATCCAAATGCGAAGCCAGCGGCAACAGTGATGAGGAAATTGATCATCATTATGAGCTGTCGATTCATCGCTTTTACTGAAACACAACAGTTTTTTGTTTTAGGATTTTGGTTTACAAGTTTGCTTAATCATATCTCTTCTACTCTTTCAGTTTGCTTTAATCTTTCATCTTCTATTCTTATTGCTTGTTGTCCTTGCAGGAGTGCGAGGGAATGAAAGAGCGGATTATCTGGCTACAAATGCGAAAGTTATGGGAACACTTGTACTGGACAAGGGATATAATCTAAATACCATATATGGACGACTTTTGGCAGAAGACACAAGATTAGATGAAATAACATGGGCAAGGAATGTGTGAGCGAGGAATTAAGTGTGGATCCGTCAAGGAAGGACAGATGAGAGGAAGAGATCGGCGTGTGTATAATCAGTGTGCTACGGGAACAGTTGCCATCTACACCTTACATCATTTGCTAAGGGAGACAGAGCATCTGTGAGTTTGCCTGGTGTGCTATGATGATTCTTAAATCGGTAATCAGTACTTGCTGTCCATATCAACATCAGTCTGACCCATATGTTCTTCATCCTCCGATCCAGCAGCCATCTCAGTGTCTACCCTACCCAGTAAGAGTTGATGACACCAACAGATGTTTCTGAAGGCAGGACTTCCCGATGCTAAGAGTCTGCTGGTCTGGATCTTCTTAAGCGTGCTCACTGAGTCTGTCACAATCAACGTGTGAGCTGCTTTTTGTTCTGCCAGCAGTGGTTTATATAACAGTAATAAAGGCCGCCGCATGGGTATAGCAGCTAGATGCTACACCTATGACAGAAAAGGTCTTGGGGTCAAATTCATATTCTGCTTTTTTTTAATTTACAATTTACCTCTACTTCCTGGCCAACCTAGACTAAAATGGGCACCAGGTAAAGTCGTGGGAAGTGAAGGTGGCCATTTGGTACACATCTACTGCCAGTGTTTAAGACACACGCTGTTTTTATACCCCCATTTTTGTTTTTTAAATAAGTGTTTCATATATTTTGGGTTGAGTTGAGTCTATGAATTGACATCACAGCCCTCGGGATATTCCCATATCTGCTCCGTCCAGTACTGATGGTACCAGTCACAATCTGGTTATATGTCCGTCTTGCCTTTCCTCTAAGTGTAGTGAGCCAATCAAACCCTCTAGTAACACCCAGATGCCTCATTCTCTCCAGACCTTAATAATCTTCTATCTCCACTGATTCTGTTGCTTGTTCCTAAAGGGCCTTGACCACATCTGCCTTGTCATGTATCAATTCACCACCCAGTGGTGCAGATCCAGCCAATCTGTCTGCCTATTTCATATATTTTTGGAAATATAGTAACTGTGATGCACCTTGCTGTTTTAGTTTGGTGAGGGATGTGCAAATTCTACTTTGTGTTTCTCAGTCTTTCATTCTATTCAACTGGTATTTTTTTTTTCCTTCAGCGTTTGTGAAAACCATTGCTATAATATAATCTTCTTAGCAACCCTATGCTACAAGTGCTAAACTCAACCTTGTGCCCATTTTAGGCTGGGTTAAACAGGATATCAAGGTCAATTTTCACAATTTTTTTTTTAATTTAAAGCAGACTCTATGTGGATTTGACCCCAAGACCTTTGGCTAGGAGTTGCAGCATGCAAAGAGTTTCAATTACAATTGCAAATTAGGTCATGGGAAGCAGTGAAGGATAACAAATCTTTCTGATGGGTTTTGATGGTTGGGACATTCTGCAAAGGCCCTGCTACATGAAGATGGTGATGAGCCACATAAGTAAAATTCAGGAATCAGGCTGACATCTGAGAATGTATGCAGAAGAAGATAAAAAAAAACAGGAGAATGGAATTTAAAATAAACAGTAAAATGGAAGGTAAGATAAACAGTAAAATGGAGAATGGAAGGTAAAATAAACTAAAATGGAGAATGGAAGGTAAAATAAACAGGAGAATGGAAAGTAAAATAAAAAAAAGAATTGAAGGTAAAGTAAACAGTAAAATGGAGAATGGAAGGTAAAAAAATGAAAATGGAAGTTAAAATAAACAGGAGAAAGATCAAATAAACAGGAGAATGGAAGGTAAAATAAACAGTAAAATGGAGAATGGACAGTAAAATAAACAGGAGAATGGAAGGTAAAATAAACGGGAAAATGGAAGGTTAAACAAACAGGAGAGTGGAAGGTAAAATAAACAGGAGAATGGAAGGTAAAATAAACAAGAGAATGGAAGGTAAAATAAACAGGAGAATGGAAGATAAAACAAACAGGAGAATGGAGGGTAAAATAGACATGAAAATGGAAGGTAAAATGAAATAAACAGGAGAATGAAAGATAAAATCAATGGGAGAATGGAAGGTAAAATAAACAGTAAAATGGAGAATGGATGGTAAAATAAACAGGAGAATGGAAGGTAAAATAAACAGGATAATGGAAGGTAAAATAAACGGAAAAATGGAAGATTAAACAAACAGGAGAGTGGAAGGTAAAATAAACAGGAGAATAGAGTGTAAAATAAACAGTAGAATAGAAGGTAAAAAAAAAAACAGGAGAATGGAAGGAAAATAAACAGGATAATTGAAGGTAAAATAACAGGAGAATGCAAGGTAAAATAAACTAACATGGAAAATGGAAGGTAAAATAACAGGAGAATGGAAGGTAAAATAAACAGGAGAATGGAAGGTAAAATAAACAGGAGAATGGAAGGTAAAATAACAGGAGAATGGAAGTTAAAATAAACAGGAGAATGGAAGGTAAAATAAACAGGAGAATGGAAGGTAAAATAAACAGGAGAATGGAAGGTAAAATAAACAGGATAAAGGAAGGTAAAATAAACAGGAGAATGGAAGGTAAAATAACAGGAGAATGGAAGGTAAAATAACAGGAGAAAGGAAGGTAAAATAAACAGGAGACAGGAAGGTAAAATAACAGGAGAAAGGAAGGTAAAATAAACAGGAGAAAGGAAGGTAAAATAAACAGGAGAATGGAAGGTAAAATAAACATGAGAAAGGAAGGTAAAATAAACAGGAGAATGGAAGGTAAAATAAACAGGAGAAAGGAAGGTAAAATAAACAGTAAAATACAAAAAGTAAATGACCCTTTTGCACACCTCCAGGCTATTGGGTATATAGGGCTAGACCTGTATTTTATAGACCAATTGGTATATAGTGGGTGGTGTGGTCAAGATCCTGCCGGCCACCTTTACCTCCCATGAAACAATAAAGTAATTTGGAAATCTTACCTTCTTCTTGGAATGTAAATGTTGTCTGGACCTAAAATGAGAAATGCAAAACACCGGTGTTTATTTTTAATTTAGAGGAATTTTGAGTTGGCCAAATTTTACTTTCTTTACATGACTGACAGCCTCTGTGGCTTAGAGGTTATGAATAAGGTTCCATAATTCCAATATACTAGCTTTGATTCAGCTGTAGTTAGTTAATCAACAGATTATCTTCCACATCGGAGAAGTACGCAAGCGCTCCGACCCATCTTCAGTATATCCCTCAGCATGTGGCGACTGACAACACCAGTTCTGTGTGGGTTTACTATTCTTCTTTGGCTACCTGTATATATTTGGCAACAACTCTTTTGACCCAAAGTTTTTGTTGTCTTTTGAGTGTTGCCGACTCACTGTCATTTCCTGAATCATCTCCTCGACCTGCCTCCTATAGAGCACCGAGATAATCGGCCCGGTCTATTGCTTTTCCTGTATTTAATGTGGCCCTGCCAGCAAGCCAATCTGCTTGTTCATTCCCTCTTACCCCAGACTGCCCTGGCACAAAATAAAACTGTTTCCTGTCGAATGAGATTTTCTCACCAACTCCAACCATCTTCTCCAAATCCATCCTGTCTTGATCTAAAGCATGCTCATGGAATCACTTTTTTTTTTTATATATCTAGAAACCATGAGTTGTTAACCCTTGGCTCGGTACTATGGATATCACAACCCTTCGGCCTTGATTCCATGATAGATACAGTAAATCTGGGAGAAATGTGGCTTTTCTGACTACTCCCGGGCGTGAACCAAGACCACAAGGAGTTCGTCACCCGGTCACCGTGAAGTCAGGTTGAACTAACTGAGCTAGCATGCTGGGCATGGAATCATTTAGAAAACTGCGACCTGGTCATGAACTTTTGGGGATCTGGCCGACGCTTAACACTCGGGTGTGAAGGCCAGACGGATATACAGTCAGACAGTTACTGGTACCATTGGAATTTTAACTTTTCGCTTGCTGCTGAAGATGGGGACGGAGCGCTTATGAGGGCATCCCGAGTGCCGTGATGTTGATTCTTATTTCAACATTCTTAAACAATATACTGCCATTAACAATTAATATTAATGAACATCAAATACAAAAAAAAAAGGAAAAAAATTATAATTTGGGCATTTGTAGACCAGGGGTAAACATTCAATAAGGTTGATAAACAAGTATTGTGGAAAGTACTGGCTCAATAAGGAGTAAGTGAACACCTCACTGAAGTGTGCAACAGTTTATGTAGGGAATGTAGAATAATAATTAAAATAATTCAGGGAACATCTAAATCCCTGATAGTAACATCTGGAGTGAGACAAGGAACTGTCTTATCACCATCGCCGTTTATCACATACATAGACAGGAATAAAAATATTAGTAACATCAATGAATTATTCTTTGCTGACGACCAGGCCTTGACAGAAGATACAGCCATGAAAATTGCAGCAATGTGTCACAGCCATGAACGCAGAACAAAAACAAACAATATGAGAATCAACATTGAAAAAATGTCTTCTTACTTTTTGGTTCACATTTCTGGTCATTCGTCTGTACTCTTTATTCTCCTGTTCAATTCTCAGCTTTTGAATTCTGGCCTCCAGCTGTGGGTTCTGGAAAATGTTGTAAAGGGTTAAAGGTGAAAGGACTGACTTCACTGCACTCGATCTCATATGGCTCTGTTTCTCTCTCTCTCTGCAGAATGGCTAGCCGCGTGTCAAGAGTGTAATACAAAGGATAAACTCTTTACTTTGAATACAATACCCTTGATTAATCAACACTGTCGACATGCTAGATAGGAGGGCAGTGGGCCTATTCCCCTCTCCACCCTCTTCCCCCCAAATTAGGCCCTGGAACCCGTGAGGTGAAACCAGGTACAAAACCCAGATATCCCATTCAACTGTTTAACACAGTTGTTATTGAGGGACCCTATAGCTAAAAAAAAAAAAAAAAATTTAGCTTGATGCATTTCTTGTCCAATATGATAAGCTTGTATATTATCTTGACTGGGTCGCCCATTGGCTGGTCAGAGGATGGCTTTGTCGTCGGTTGGGATGGTATTTGGGTCTGTCTCATCTGATCGCATCAACACTGCAAGAGTCCTTTTTAGGACTACTTGGTGGTGAACGTTAAGCCATTCTAAATGGTGCACATAACCTAGTCACAATTATAACCAAAAGCTCCCCATTTTGGGGGATGCTGGTTGAACATGGTAATTTTTTTTTCCACATAGTAAGCAATCAAGCGAGCAACCTGTGTATGTCACGTGACTTGCCATAAATACAAATTTCATTCTTCTGAGTGACTGTCATAGGGGTCAAAGCGCACCATTTTGCCCAGGAGCCCACAATGCTGTTAAGACAGCTCTGCACAGCACCCATCGATAGGTCTAGCACCATACGCCTCTGTGGCTCGGGCATGGTGAGCCCGCTTGGAATGCTGGGTTGCCAGGTTCGAACCCATTTGTAGGCAATTTGGCAGCAGAACATCTTGCGCTGGTTTCGAAGGTGGTGTTGAGACCTGACCATTCAGAGAGCAGTGGCAAACTACTGAATGTAAAAAAAAACACAACAGCCTAAAAAATGCTCGGGTTGGTTCTGCAACATCCTGTAAAGGATATGCAACGTCTGTAAAGAATATGCAACGTCCTGTAAAGGATACGCAACGTCCTGTAAAGGATACACAATGTCCTATAAAGGAGACTCAGCAGTCTGAAAAAGGATACTCAGCATTCTGCAAAGGATACGCAACTACCTTAACCACATGCCTGTTATGAAAAGCATCTTTTACCTACAAAGACAACTAAGATACTCTAAGACAACTAAGATACTTACTCTAGTTGGTGGGCTAACAGTTTGCGGCATGAATTCTGCATCTTTAATTATTTCATGTAGGAAGATTTTTTGGCCTTCATTTGAGAAAAAAAAAAAAGAAAAACAAACAAAGTGTTAAGTCAAGCACATGAAAAGATTGCTTACTGTGTGAGTTAAGACTCACTCATGACATTCCCATAAGTGCTCTGTTCCCGTCTTCAGCGGCAAATGCAGAGTTCCGATTCCAATGGTAATAGTCTGATTGTATGTCCGCTTCACCCTCGTCTACTGAGTGTTGAGCATCGAACAGATCCCCTGGTCACTTCTCTCGGTGCCATTCTCATCATGTTTCTGGTCACTTCTCTCGGTGCCACTCTCATCATGTTTCTGGTCACTTCTCTCGGTGCCATTCTCATCATGTTTCTGGTCACTTCTCTCTGTGCCATTCTCATCATGTTTCTGGTCACTTCTCTCTGTGCCATTCTCATCATGTTTATAGTCTGTGCTCCTGGGGGTGAACTGTATTTTCAAAAAATCTACAGATTACGTTACATTGCTGAGGGAGATGGAGTGCTTACGTCTATGTTCGATGAGCTGTGTCGCTTCATAGATTCGTATTTACAAATCAAATTAGTCGTGGAACAATCATAAAGCTTTAATAATATTCATTTTCAGTATGTGAAATCACACCAAGGTTAGTTGCGTATCCTTTACAGGACGTTGCAGAACCAACCAAAACAGCCACTTGCTGTTGTGTGGTTTTTCTAGGCAAATTTACGTCCAGTAGTTTGCCACTGCTTCTGGACGGTCGGCTTTTTTTTATATCACTGTCGAAACCAACGCAAGGCTTATGGCCTGGCATTACGAAGCGTTCACATCTACTTAGCCACAGAGCCGACGAAATCACACCACTGCCCAAAAAAAATTTGATTTAAAAAAATAGTAATACCGTCTCCACGAAGTGCAGTATAGATGTCCCTGAGTACTGTCGTAGATACAAGAGTTTTTCCATTCTCTTCCTGAAGCATTTCCTGACACTCTTTCTTCAGATCATCAGTCACAGATCTACAGTGAAGCGCCTTCTCCGCAGCCTCTCGTATATGTCCTGTTACTTGCAACTGCGGCCGCCGTACCGACAACTTTGTATCCTCCGCCATTTTGTTTTCATCATGTGATTTTGTTTGGTTTCGACGCCGGTCTCTTTTCGCGTTTCTAAATGTACTAAAACTGAGTAATCGATCGATCAATTTGTCAGCTCCAGGCTAATACCTTTGCGTTTAACACACTGACCTGAGATTAAAACAATCTAAGCCTAGTTGGTTGATCATGCAAACATGCATGCATAAATACATACACACACACACACACTCAGACACACTTTCGCAAACACACACAGCAGATACACAGACACATCAGTCACACACTCACAAACACACATGCAGCCGCACATACATCTACAATCATAAACAGACGCATACAGACACACACAGGCAGAGACACACTCAGGCACAAATAGACAGACAGACAGACAGACAGACAGACAGACAGATAGATAGACAGATAGATAGATAGATAGATAGATAGATAGATAGATAGATAGATAGATAGATAGATAGATAGATAGATAGATAGATAGATAGATAGATAGATAGATAGATAGATAGATAGATAGATAGATAGATAGATAGATAGATAGATAGATAGATAGATAAACTGTTAGAAAGAGGCAGTCAGTGCTCTTCGGTCATGTTATAAGAGCACCGGAGAACCTTGTTATGATGAAAGAACAACTGTAGAAGAGGAGTGGCATGTTAAGTGAGACTGTGCTTGGTGCAATAGAGGCGGGGAAAATCTGCTGCATCAAAGCTCGAGAGCTCGGAATGCTGAAGATAAGGAAGCATAATGTATATTAACTTATTTTAAGGGAAATAACGCAAACAATGCTAGAATTCAAATATGTAAACAAAACTGGAGTGAACTCCCTTGCAACCTTGTAAACATGGCAGCACATGCGATGTTGAGGTAAGTGGTACTCTCATAAACATTTACCTGATCGTGTTGGTTTCTTCTGTTTTGTTACAGTAGTATGTAACCGTCTTATGTTTTTCAACATCGTGTTTTATATTGCAAAGTAACACATGTTGTCTTGTTTTTGCTTTCATTTATGTTTTCAACCACACTGACTGAAGACGACGAAATTGAACTCTGAACTGATATATGATAACAGTTCAATAGATCAAATGAGTTCAGTGATGGTCGTCTGTTGACTTATGTAATGGCGCAGTTCGTTTTCAGACATTCACTCTTCCCATACGATAGCTGGTCACTTTGTAACGGTAGGATGGCCCAATATAAATGTTTTATAGGGGCTGGCTTGTCTGGAATTAGGGCTCTACTGTCCTGTCAAATTTGGCCGGTAAGCTGGACTGCTTCGGCCGGCTTAGCGGGGCTTAGTGGGAGTTATGTCCCTTCGCCAAACTCAAAACAAGTCGCGGAAAAAGTCACGAATCGATGACATACTTACCTATCATCATCCGGGCGCGTGTAGGGCTGCGTAGGGTTGCGTCTAGGGTTACCTATCATCATACGATTGCGCGTAGGGTGTCTATCATCATCATACGGTTGCGTGTAGGGATGCGTAGGGTGTCTATCATCATCATCATATGGTTGCATGTAGGGTTTGGGTTAGCGGTAGGGTTAGGGGTGTGGGGTAGGGTTAGGGGGAGGTTTAGGGTTAGATGTGACAATTTTCACGTAGGAGGTCGACATACTGGCCGACAATCTGATGCTTGTGGGAGTGGCGCCACTGGAAGTGTGCCAAATATGATGGCAATAGCGCGCGGCGACTGGTGCTCCAATCGGTGGCGAATTGTCCGTGTCAGTAGCATCCACCGTCCGTCGACTGTTTGCGCATGCATGCGATTGTAGGGAACTACGGCGTCACAATTGTCACATCTAACGCTACACCTAACCCTAAACCCTAACCCCTAACCTTAACCCCTAAATGCTAACCCTAACCCCTAACCCTACCCCTCATCTTACGCAAACAACCAACCTACACGCAATCAGCAGCCCTACACGCAACCGAAGGACGATAATAGACACCCTACGCAACCCTACACGCACCCGGATGATGATAGGTAAGTATGCTGTTTGATTCGTGACTTTTTCCGCGACTTGTTTTGAGTTGTTTTGAGTTTGGCCAAGGGACATAACTCAAACTAAGCCCCGCTAAGCCGGCCGAAGCAGTCCAGGTTACCGGCCAAATTTGACAGTAGAGCCGGAATTTGTTCTGTTGGGTTCGCTCATGGCTTCCTGAGTCTCTGGAGAAATTGGTATACAGAAGAATCGGTCATATTTTATGGAAACAAAAACAGTCCAATGCAGAGGGTCTAAAAAGGCTACAGATGAAAAGAGAATTACTGAAAGAAATAAAAAAGAGACAGTTGAAATACTCTGGCCACATAAAAAGACATTTAACAAGATTTTAAAAACCATACTGGAGGGAAATGTTGAAGGCAAGAGATGGGAACTATTCAAGTAGGAGGACAGTATCATGAGTTGGACGGGCAGCAGTCAGAGAGAGTGTACAACCAGGACAAGAGACGGAGCAAGTTGGAGATTCATTGCAACCAACCTTCACTGTAGAGACGGCACCTGATTGATTGAGACGCTTTTTAAGACAGTCACTGGGTGTCGATCTTCCAGGCTGCAGTACAGACAAGGCAAGGGAAACACTGAAAATACAGGGAACATTGACAATACAGGTTGAAGGGGAGGGGCATTCAGTATACATAGTTCATGCAAAATTTGGCGCATTTGTTCATTATATCAAAGGTGAAATAAGTTGCAGATCCACAGCAATAGGCTCTTTTCTTTCAATACAGGATGGTAGCTGGAAAGCCGCCGAGCGGCTTAGTGGGAGTTCACTCCCTTGGCCGCATTGCAAACACGGAGTGGAAAAGTCACGAATCAAACAACAAAATCAACATGGCAGTTAGAAAATAGTCATGATGATGTACTACTGGCTCTGCGGCTTAAGTTCAACGACTGTCATGGTCTTCGAGAGACTCACGTCCTGGTCCACCATTGTCAACTACAACAATTATTTCCGGAAGGAATGCTATAATTGGATGTTGAGACACACCGTGGAGTTGGGAGGACTCGATGAGACCGGCAGATCTGTCATGGTTGAGGTAGACGAGAGCTACTTCTTCCGACGAAAGTATCAGCGCGGTCGCATCCGTCACGGTCGTTGGGTCGTAGGGCTAGTAGAGTGTCAGACTGGCCGTTGCTACTTCGAGCTTGTGCGAAGACGAGATGCGGCGACATTGGAGAGGATCATAACAGATCACGTCCTGCCGGGAACGACCATTGTGACTGACGCTTGGCGAGGCTACAGCAACGTCGCAAACTTAAGGCATGGCATCTATCTGCACGAGGTAGTAGTCCACCAGACCAACTTCGTCGACGTTGTGCACAGTCACATACACACACAAACAATCGAAGGACTGTGAAAGCTACTGAAATGGTCCATTCGCCACCGATTGGGCACCAGTCGCGCGCTATTGCCGTCATATTTGGGAGAGTTCCAGTGGCGCCACTCTCACAAGCATCAGATTGTCGGACAGTATTTGGACCTGCGAAGTCAAAATTTTCACATCTAACCCTAACCCTAACCCAAACCCAGCCCCTAACGCCGCTAATCCTAACCCAAACCCTATGATGACTACGCAACCGTATGATGATAGGTAACCATAACCGTATGATGACTACGCAACCATACACGCAACCGTATGATGATAGGTAAGTATGTCATTTGATTCGTGGCTTTTCCTCTCAGTGTTTGCAATGCGGCCACGGGAGAGAACTCCCACTAAGCCGCTCGGCAGCTTTCCAGCTACCGTCCTGTATTGAAAGAAGAGCCCAGCAATATTTTGTTGCATTCTCTTATTCTTGTACCACTTCTTGTGTTAAAGTAGAGACGTTGTTGTTCTTGTTTTGGCTACTTTGACCACGGGTGGATATGACAGATTACTTTATGGCCTGTTTTTAACCACTTTTACCACCATTGCCAATACCGAGATGAGGGTGGGACTGGGACCAGCTTTGGTTTAAACAAAAAAAAATTAAAATCTGCCTCAAGACACTTGCAGAAAAGGAAACCCAAAAGGTCTGAGATTTTGAACAACGGATCAACGCCATGGCACACTGGTAGTAACCCATAAATGCTTCATTCTTCTTCTAACTCAAGTCTGAGTCCAAAGAAGCTCATCACAGTGCACAGGCTCTGTAGCACCAGCGAGGATCCTGAAATACTTTGGGTAGGTTTTTAACTCCAAATTTTACCCAGGCAGCGCTGTTAGGCTACTATTTTTGTGATTTCCAACTGCCTAGGGATTTTTCATGTGTGCAGCAATGCACATGGGCGTCCAATCTCACTACCCAGAGACCAGGAGAAATTACTAGAAGTCCAAGTCCTAGTGAAAAAAATCCTAGCCCTTACTGGGAATTGAACCCGGAACCTCTAGCACTCAAGGCGGACACCATGCATCGAGACCACTCAGTCCTCTAACCCAAGAGGTAAAATAAGGTAAATGTTTATCACATAGACACCAGAGGGAAAGAGAAAACAGGGGCGCCCAAGAACAACATGGAGACAAACGATGGAAAGTGACCTGAGTGCTGCATCTTTGACATGGAAAACTGCATTGAAGATTGCACAGGACAGGAAAGCATGGAAAGTCCTCTCTGAAGCCTCATGTGCCACTAGGCATAATGAGAACTGATGATGATGATGATCAGAGAAGCTCAAGCTGCTGGACTGGAATCCATCCATGATATCGAAGAGATTGGACAGGTTAGAGCAAAATGGAGAAATAGACTGTGAAATAAATGAATTGCGTAGGATAGAAACTGCAGGTGGACCCAGCCACCCGAGCCTTCGTAGACTTGAGTATTGAAAAGACTGTTGTAATACCTCCTCTTTCCAATACCTCAGTTTTGGTGATCTTGTCCTGTCACTTAAGGCCATTCTTCATAGGCATCGTATGTGAATGCTATTTAACCCTTTTTCCTGTTGCAAAAAAAGTTGACCAAATTTCACTGCCATAAAGCAGAGTGCTGAGAACACAAACCTGACAGACAAAGGTTTTGT